TCCCTGGACATAGCCGGAATTTGCATCCGTATTTTCACTATTTGAAATATGGCAACCCTAACCCTACCTCGGGTTAAGTACTTAATTCATTCCGGAGGTCCGTTCTTAACCTGAAACTGTTCTTAACCTGAAACTGTTCTTAACCTGAAGCACCACTTTAGCTAATGGGGCCTCCTCCTGCTGCCACACTGCCGGAGCACGATTTCTGTTCTCATCCTGAAGCAAAGTTCTTAACCCGAGGTACTATATTGGGTTACTGGAGTCTGTAACCTGAAGCGTATGTAACCGGAAGCTTATGTAACCCGAGGTACCACTGTAATGCAGCCTCAGGCATACTAGAGCAGGGGTCAGCAAACTTTTTCAGCAGGGGGCCGGTCCACTGTCTCTCAGACCTTGTAGGGGGCCGGACTATATTTTTGGGGAAAAACACTGAACGAATTCCTGTTCCTCACAAATAACCTAGAGATGCATTTTAAATTAAAGCACACATTCTACTCATGTAAAAACACCAGGCAGGCCCCACAAATAACCCAGATATGCATTTTAAATCAAAGAACACATTCTATTCATATAAAAACACGCTGATTCCCGGACTGTCCATGGGCCGATTTAGAAGCCGATTGGGCCAGATCCAGCCCCCGGGCCTTAGTTTGCCTACCCCTGTACTAGAGTATTGCAGAATATATGGGAACTTTATGGTTGTTGTTTTATTTTCAATTCATAACTAGCTTTGTTTTGAATTAGATATGAGGTTGTTTGACAGTAACTGGTCTCCTCTGAATTGTGAAGTGAATCATCAATTACATCTTTCGATAAAGCAAGATATGCAGAGACATATATGGTCATAAAAGTTCATAAGTAATAGCTCCTTTGAGATTTCTTACAAGTGGTTTCAGTGCTGAGGTCAGAGTAGACACACACACACACACCTTTTTTTTCAGGATTTGGCCTTGGAGCCCGTGTAATTTTTGTTGAGAAGCAATTCATAAATGCCACATTTCCATGAACAAAATGTTTCCAAACTGGCTTACTGTTGAAGATGGAGATTTTCAAATTATCGTGAATAATTCACTGGGAATGTGGTAGAGTTCTTTAAAATAGCGACAAAAAACCTTACACAGTCTTTTCTATCATAAATGCTGTAAGTATAATATTATAGAGGCATACTTCTTTCTGCCCCTGTTTTTAATATTTGTGCAGTACAACGATAATGTTACAAAACACTGACATGTAATTTGTAGATTTCTCTAATCTTAGTAGAGAACATTATTACAGGGAGCTCCCCACCCCCACCCCCAGGAACTGAAGTTTCTTATTCAGCATATTTAATCCCTACAAACCACATATCCCCTTATGGGAAGAAACACTGGTCCCTTCCCCCACATTTCACTTACATGGCAGATAGTGACAAATTCTAGAAGTATTAGCTTGTTAGCTTGTTTTTAGCAAAAGCATCATGGTGAACTGCGGTGCCGTAAACCAACAAATTTATCATAGCATAAGCGTCTAACAAAATAGACCTTAGTTCTGCGCAATATCTATTTGTCAAAATAAATTATTCCAGCAGGATCACTCTCATGTTTTGGTAGGTGAGGAAATAGCTGCAAGGGACAGAGGTTAGATATGTGTCGTCTTGTCATTGAGCCGTGCTTTCATCAGGCAGGCTGTAAAAAAGAGGTCATACATAATCGGGGCTTAACTATCTATTACTATCCTGCTGTGACAGCTCTCTGGAATTATTTTGACAGTTGATTTAAGAGGCTCCACAGGGTTATCTTATTACCTTGTTTACATTAACAGGGTACTTCACATTTAAGGGGCCTTATAAGCTGATCTTGTTGTCATCTATTACTATAGTGTTGAGGACTACACACACGTGGTAGCTGTATAATCTGGCCCACAGCCTGCTTTAAAACTGGGGTGGGGAACCATTTTTCGCCTGATGATCTTTTTTAGGGCCATATGGCAGTGGTGGGTGTGGCCAATGTATACATGCAGACACACTCCACACACATAAGTAGATTCAGCCCACACATGTGGTCACTACACATAGGGACCATGCCTGCACACCATAGCTGTCAACTGTCCCTTATTTGGCGGGAAAGTCCCTTATCCCAGTGCTGTGTCCCGCTGCTGTCCCTTATTGATGATGTCCCTTAAATTTCCTGGGTTTCAAAGGAAGCAGCTCCTCTCCCTCCCTCCCTGCCGGCCAGGGAGGAGGGAGGCTCCAACTGTGTTGCTTGGCTGCGTTGCTCACCCAATAAGGAGTCTAAGAATGACTGGGGGGTGGAGCTTGCATGCCTTGTGCCGATCAAATCGGCCGCGTTGCCTGGGGACTCGCCTTTGCTCAGCGCTTCCCAGCAGAGAGGTGACGGTGGTTTCCCTTGCTGCATCCCCTTTCCGGATTGCTGCGCTGTGGGAACCACCGCTTGAGGCTTCATTTGGCTGCTGGCTGGGCTTTCTGCCTTTGGCTCGGAGGGGCTCAGAAGTTGAACATACCTGTGCTTGGAAAATCCCTTATTTTGGCTGATGATCCCTTATTTTTGAGGCTGCTGGTCCCTTATTTTCCAATCTGTAAGTTGACAGCTATGCTGCACACTCAACACAAATAGAGCACACACAAAGACACACATACAACATACACACTCACTGAATTTACAGGTACGCAGACCTCTCTTTTTCTCCTGCATGTGTACGCATGCACGCGCACGCACGCACACACAGAGTTGTATATCCATGCATGCACCATACTCTCCGTCATTTCTCCCATGAAAATAAGGACGTCCTGTTAAACAACAAAAACCATTTTATTATTTATTCCCTGCGCATCTGACTGCCACTCCTGGCGGCTTCCAACATATATAAAAAACATAATAGGCAGTCAGTCGGTCAAGTTTATTGCTTATAGTCAAAGGCTGCTGGAATGTATACAATGTCATTCAATAAAATATATACTAGTTTGATACAAAAACTTAAAACATTTCCATTGTCAAAACATGACCTAATCTGCACAAAGCTATAAAAACGCCTTAATATACAAATTGACACATTAGACAATAAAATTTATAAGCTAAAATCACCGCGGGGCCACTAATATATTAAAAATAATATTAAATAATACAATAGACAATTATGTAGAAAGTTTAGTGAGAAAGATACAGCTTGGTGTTGATGGGGTCAAAGAATTCATCTCCTTTACAGTTGATAGCTATTTCGGCTATATAATATTTTCTACTGTATTTGCGTGTATATTCCTCCAGTAAAGTCCTGTGGGGAACTGAGTTCCTATTGGGAAAGACTTGACCAACTACTTGAAAGTATAGACTCTTTGTCTTCCAACCCTCGGTTTGTCTTGGGGGGGGTGAACTTCAGTGCCCGGATTGGCCTTGTCTCCCCACAAAATACAATATTATCTGGACTAAACTTGGAGGACGAACCTGAAATCTGCCAGATGGCACCACCTCTAACCACGCTGGGAAATACCTCTGTGAACTTATATAAAAAAACTTAATAATACATTAAACATTTAAAAAACCTTTCTTTCTTTCTTTCTCTCTCTCTCTCTCTTTCTTTCTTTCTTTCTTTCTTCTTACAAGTGGTTTCAGTGCTGAGATCAGAGCATACATACAGACACTGCCTTCAGATGTCTTCTAATGGTTACATATCTCCTTGGCTTGGGGGGGGGGTTGCATAACTCCATACCATCCATAGTTTCTCCAGTGAAAATAGGGATGTCCTAAGGAAAAGCAGGGCATTCTGGGATCAAATCAGAAACCAGGACGGCTTCTGTGAATCTGGAACTGTCCGTGGAAAATAGGGACACTTGGAGGGTCTGCGTACACTCTCTTGCCCAAGGCAGGTTGAGGGTTCTTACAAAATCATCCCCGATCCAGTGCTGGGGTGCAGGGGAATGCTGCCTTTGTGTTTTCACAGAACTATCTATGAAGCATAAAAGGCAGCTAGCTCAGGAAACCGCCCCCCACAGAAAGAAAAGGGGGGGTGCCTAACAGCGCAAACAGTACCCATGTATGCAGAAGTCCCACCACAGAGCTCTCCCAGCTAAATTGGCCACCTACTACGGTTGTATCAATGCTGAAAAGCACAAGCAGAGTGCTTTATCATCCAATCTCAGTGCAGAGCACCCCAGTGCTGAAATTGGAAGATAAAACTGGGGGTTTTGGGGGTTCCCTCCTATGTTTGGCCAGACTGAATCAAGGCCATGGGTTAGCCCCCTGTGCTTTAAAATAATGAAGGGAACCGCAGGTAATTTCAGTGAGAACTAGTATGATATAATTCTTTCTGAGTTCCAGCTTGTAATCATGACATCCATATGTCCTTGGTACAGTCTCACATGTAATTATTTTACGGCCAATTCACAGAATTGTTGGACTGTACAAGTATATGTGTGTGTTTGGTGCAGTATTCACTATATATTGCATATTTCTGCATTACAAATTGTTTTGGGTGTTTTAGTATTAAAAACAGATGACAGCACATATTTCAAGCATTCATGCACATATGTTCAGAAGAGTAGGGTTACATCCAAAAGGGTGCATGTTCCAGGTCTCTGTATGCACCAATTCCCCCACCCACCCACCCACGGATATTTCTTCCTTTAGCATCTTCTCTGACACACCCTTCTCTCCCTGTCCCTGCCAAATTGGTATTTTCAACTCACCAAATGTAAAACCATCACAGGGAGTTACTAAAGAGGAACAGCTGGTAAAATCTGAATGTTTATTGCTCGCACGCACACAAATCACATCGCTGGATTATGGCCACATAGTATATATGCGTGTGAATACTAACTCTCACTCCAAGCTTCCTTTAACACTCCGAACTGCTCTTCCAAAGTAACAGCAGCGAGAATAATGGAAAAATATGTGCACTCAGCCAAATGTGTGCATGCATAATAAGTCAGCATCCTTCGGCATGTGTGTAACCATTAATTTTGTTCCTCTCAGCGTGGCTTGTAAATGTCTCTGAATTCTTCCTTGCAGATCTGGTGTTGTGGTGCTGCCTGTGTTAGACGGACGAATGTAGAACGCAACTTAGTGGAGGCTTGCAAAGACGTTGGAAGAATTAGGTAAATCAAATGGCAAGATCCACCTTCCTTCCTTCCTTCCTTCCTTCCTTCCTTCCTTCCTTCCTTCCTTCCTTCCTTTCTTTTTTCCTTCCTTCCTTCCTTCCTTCCTTCCTTCCTTCCTTCCTTTCTTCCTTTCTTTCTCTCTCCCCCCAGTTACATCTGCACACACATGGGCTTTCAGGATAAGACTCATTGGGAACCCTTCATTCCTCCTCCGCAGCTTGCCCTTGGCTATGTGTACTGCAGCAGCTGGTCATTACTTTCAACAGGAAGCCTGCACGTGCCTCCCATATACACATCCAGCTGTCCCTCTCCTCCCCAGGGACCTTGCCTGCAAGTTTCTTACGATTGCCTAGCCAAGGGCTAGCTGAGGGGAAGGAGGCAGGAAACGAAAGATCGGGCTCCAATGAGCCCTGTCCTGATCCTTCTGCTGCACGTGCAGCTGTGGTTACTGGGAGGAGGGGAGCGCTTTGGTGTCCACAGTTTTTGTGGTTTAATTTGAGAACATTCATGTCACTTCCTTGGAAGCGTATAAACAAGAGGGTGAAATATGGGGTCGGTTTCAAACTTTTTGGCATTTTGCAATATGCTGCTCTTACCGTTCTTGTTTGTTGTGCGATGGGAAATTGGTTTATCTTTTGTCATTGTCTAGAGGGGTCTCCAAACCAAATGGATGGGTGAAATCAATAATAAAATAAACCGGGGTCAGCAATCGAAGGCCCATGGGCCATAAGCGGCCCATGGGGGTCATTTAACTGGCCCTCAAGCCGCCCCCAAACCAAGCCACCCGCTCAGTGAGTCCCCGCAAACTGTGCTAAACTGGCATGGCACGGTTACTTGCTTTCGTGGCGCCGAAAATTGCATCTGTGCATGGAAATTGCATCTGCGCACAGACAATGAAAATCACGGGCGCCATCCAGCCCACGGAGGGATCTCCACTGCAGTGAACTGGCCCAGGCAAGGTAAACCTTGCTGACCCATGAAATAAACATTTAAGTTTTAGTCTTTGCAGTCTCTAAAGTTATTTTAGCAGCACGACCCAGTTGCTGCTGTACCAGCTGTTGCAGCAGCATGTGTTAACCACCATCGTATTCCATCGTTGCCATCCTTTCTGTGAGCTAGCTGTTCAGAGATGTATGGAAGCAGGCTTCTGCATGTATAGACTATAGCTAGACTATACATACATACATACATACATACATACATACAGTTGCTGGGCACCCAGTCCCTCATCCCACTTCAGCAGCTGGTGCTGTGTTTGCCCACCCCACTTGCATATTCAGCGTTAGTTAGAAACAATTCCTATTGAAAGCAATGGGCCTTACTTCCAGGTAAGTGGTGTTAGGATTGCAGGCTTAGTAACTGAAGAAAGCGATGCAGGGAGCTGACAAATAGACACCTTTTATTTCTGTTAATCACTGATTGGGACTTCTATAGGCATAGCTGGATCAAAGTTCTCATTTTCACCAAATGGGCCCTTTGTTTTGTTAATGCACTCCCTGCTCGCTGTCTTTTATTTGCTCCCTTCCCTTTGTAGATAATGTGGACATGTCAATAGGGTTAAAGTTCCACCTGTTGCCACAGTTCATCGCTTGGTCAGTATGGGGCATAGAGTTGTCACGGTGTTCTTGCCCACGTTCTGTGGGAAGAGCTCGCACTTGGTATGAACTAGATGCCCTCGCACTTCATATGGATGAAGAATCCAGGATGAAGAATTCCTGGATTCATGTTCTGCAGTTGCCGTGATATAGGGGGGCAAAGGGATGTCTCCCTCGTCTTGATATGATTGCTTTTAGCGCTACTGCATTGCTGTCCTAATACTGCCCTGTCTAAGTACCATATCATGGGTTCCCTAGTGGTCTCCCATCCGAGCACCTCAGCAGACCCTCCAAGCATCCCTATTTTCCAGGGACAGCCCCAGATTTACAGAAGCCATTGTGACACCTCCCTCTGCTGGCTCACTGGTCTCCAGAGTGCAAAAAAGCCTGGTGAGCTCCTATGGTTGGATCATTTCATGTTTGTTGCAGAAAGAAGATAGACATGTAAGTAGGATTTCTCTCAGCATCTGCATTCTGTGATGATAGTGAATTCCTCTTGAGCTTAGATGCTTGAATGCCAAAACCTGTTTAGGGACATGGATCGGGAGATTACTAACTGTGAGCCCCATTTTTCTCTTTATTTTCTAGGCTTTCTAAGCAACAGAGACACCCCATGCTTTGCAGCACCATTGCCCCAACACAGATGCCTTCGCATCTGATCCCATCCATTCTCCAAAGCAATTTTAAGCCTGCAGTTGTACACATAATCATATCTATATAATTCCCATTTAAATTCATAATAATTATGCACGAGTTACTCTGTATAATATTGCGGTTTTGGCATTTGGTAGCAGGCATAGAAAAGGCTCTTAACCGTTTGAAGCTTGCCTAGTTTTGCAGTTCTTACCTTTTCTTTCTGAAGTTCAGCCTCATATATGTTTACTCAAAAATAAGTTCTACTAAATTCAGTAGGGTTTAATCCCTAGGTTCCTGTGTTTAATCCTAACCCCATGTTTAGGATTGCAGCCTTAAATGCCCTGATTAAAGAAATGTTTATTGTACATTTTTTCCCAGCCTCACACATTTCTAGGGAACAATTTGTCATACGGTGTTTTTTTCTTCTGATTTCAGTATAGATTTGTTATTTTAACTGAGGTTTAATGTTGTAATTAAATTACCAGTGTTTAAAACAAATGTATTCAGAAATGTCTTTGGACAGGTTTGTTTAAGGAAACATTTTCTTGGTCTGAAAAGTACGATGAAGTATTAGTTGTCAAGTTAAATATGAAGTATTATGTATTAATCAACTCAGAATATATGTAACCTCATTCCCATTACAACATGCATGCCATACTTCATAACTGATTGATCCTGGTCTTCTTTCTTATCCAGTTGATTTCCATTTTTTAAAAATCTTAGTGGCTCTGTTATCTTGTTAATTTGCTTAGAGTTGGATTTTAAATGATTTCAGGTTTCTGTGATAACTTTGATAGCTTTTTTCATAATATTTAAAGCAGAAAACTGTGTCGCACATATGTTTACGATTAGCCTTTTGTATTGGAGGTGAAATGCTTTTTCTAAGTTAAAATAAGGACATAGGAAGAGCCTGCTGGGTCAGGTCAATAGCCCTTCTAGTCTAGGGTTGACAAAAGGTGAAAATCTGGAAAGTGGTTGGGTTTGTTTGTTCCTTGGCCTAAGTTGTTGAGCAAAATCTAGACTTCCGACACGGTTTGCTATACGTCTGGATTTTTCCAGACATTCCAGCAATTTCCGCCCGGACACTGCTTCCAACTGCTGTATTCCAGCTATATCTGGGAAATTCTGGATGTTTGGCAACCCTATAGCCCAGCATCCTGTTTTCACAGTGCTAACAAGATGTCTGTGGGACTTGAGCTCTGAGTGCCATGTCTTCCTAAGGTTTCCAGCTACTGGTACAGTGGTACCTCAGGTTAAGTACTTAATTCGTTCCGGAGGTCCGTTCTTAACCTGAAACTGTTCTTAACCTGAAGCACCACTTTAGCTAATGGGGCCTCCCACTGCTGCTGCGCCGCCAGAGCACAATTTCTGTTCTCATCCTGAAGCAAAGTTCTTAACCTGAAGCACTATTTCTGGGTTAGCAGAGTCTGTAACCTGAAGCGTATGTAACCTGAAGCGTCTGTAACCCGAGGTACCACTGTATTCAGAAACATTACTGCCTCCAAATCATATGGATCTTGCATCTTGCAAGAACTTAGCCAGATTTATTTATTTATTTATTTATTAGTTTAGTAGTAAGGTGTTAAACTGGGGGCGTGGGTGGCTCTGTGGGTTAAACCACAGAGCCTAGGACTTGTCGATTAGAAGGTCGGTGGTTTGAATCCTCATGACGGGGTGAGTTCCCGTTGCTCGGTCCCTGCTCCTACCAACCTAGCAGTTTGAAAGCACATCAAAGTGCAAGTAGATAAATAGGTACCGCTCCGGTGGGAAGGTAAACAGTGTTTCCGTGCGCTGCTCTGGTTCGCCAGAAGTGGCTTAGTCATGCTGGCCACATGACTTGGAAGCTGTACGCCGGCTCCCTTGGCCAATAAAGCAAGATGAGCACCGCAACCCCAGAATCAGTCATGACTGGACCTAATGGTCAGGGGTCTCTTTACCTTAAGGTGTTAAACTAGGACCTTAAAGACTGAGTTCAAATCCCCAGTATGTCATGAAGCTCACTGGATGACCTTGGACCATTCGTTGTCCCTCAATCTAACCTACACATGGTGGCTGTGAGGATGAAATAGGGAGGTGGAGAACCGCATATGCAGCCTCAAGCTCATTTTAGGAAAGCAGGAGTATAAATGTATTAATACAGTTAAACTGTGCTTGGGAGATTTAGAAAGCAATGGAAGAAATAAGAAACTTCTTTCTCATAAGATCTCCAGGCCAACAACATTTTAAAGGTGCGCCAATTAAGCTTGCAGCTAATTATGTGCTTTTCTGTCCCTTCTTGAAACAACTTTAGCAGAGATCAGGTTTTTGTTCCCTTCCAAGACTAGAGGGTCTTGGGAAATTGCACTAAAAGTTAGCAATTGTGGGTCCAACATGTTTCAAAATCTGTGTGAAATCCTATGAATTCATAAAACTTGCATTGGGCCTGCACACTCTCAAGGTAGTGGCTATGTCCACTTGAAATTTGAGAGTACATTTGGCTATTTTTTGTGGAGTTGCAGCATTTAAAGACAGTGCTGAGTATAGTCCTGTAGTCTTGGTAATGTTTAGGACTACAGTGAATGAGGGACGCGGGTGGCGCTGTGGTCTAAACCACTGAGCCTCTTCGGCTTGCCAATCAGAAGGTTGGCGGTTTGAATCCCCATGATGGGATGAACTCCTGTTGTTCAGTCCCAGCTCCTGCCCACCTAGCAGTTCGAAAGCACGTCAATGTGCAAGTAGATAAATAGGTACTGCTCTGGCAGGAAGGTAAACAGTGTTTCCATGTGC